AGACATGATGCACCGAGACGTGACCCATGCTTCCTTAATTAAATCAACAGTGAAATTCCCTCAATGACTTAACCTACAATAAAACCCAATGCACCGAGATTTGAGCTTGGATATTACACTCAAATCCTCCTGGCAATTGGGGAAATTTGTTAATGCCACATATGGATCATCGGACTAGGATAATTCTAGGGTCTAAGTGGCGAGGGCAATGACGGCATTGCTTATCTGTGCTTAAACGAGGAATACGAAGTGGGATTATTAGAATAGTATCTCCTACCTCAAGGATCTTCTATAAGAGAGAGGAAAGGATCGATGATGCTATTTGCCGACTCTTGGTGGGATCGTTGCTCCCGACACTCTTAGGTCGTCAGTAGTTTTAGCACGATTAGAGTGACTAACTAGTGGACTACACGACTTTACAAAAATATTTACGAAATAAAACAAAATCTCTTTTGCATGTTAAAAGGAACTCTGCATAAAAAAAACTTAAACAACAGTTTTTTGCATGAAAATCAAATAATTTTTTTATGAAAATTTATAAAGGTCCACGACTAGTCGTCAAATAAATCTAATCGAGAAAAAGTTGACCGACATAAATATACATTTCATATGAGTGAACCCAAGGGTTACAGCAAATTCAAAAGATTTATACTGTTCCATCCCACAATAAACCCAATCTAGACTCATGCTAACAAGCCCGCCAATTAAAACCAAATCAACAAATTAGAGCTCGTTAAAAACTAATGATCACATTATGCCTATGAGTCCTTTGTCAGTCATGTCCGCTACTTAAAAATCTTAAATGGCCATGTTGTGTGTCTAAAATATTCAGTAAAACTGCAATATCCGACCAATTGCAATGAAAAAATTGGCATCCACAACAAAAGCATATCTTTGACACACCACCCGCCTTTTTGTTTTAAAGATGCCTTGGAGAAGGAAGCACATGGTTGTTAATAATGTTCGTTGAATATTATTGCTTAATGCACTTTGAAGCTAGCACACTAGATCCATTGGCATTCCATAAATGATGAAACCAGAAGATCGTGATTGAGTCTACCTCCATCAGCAAAACATACTTATTAAACAAATTCGAACGTAAGCAACAAATCTGTTGTAAAACTCAAGTGTGCGTAGAAGGTGTAGTTAGTTATGGAAGCTTGCGCCTACAAGTTGTTTTGACATAAGATCTAAACAAAACATTATTTAACAACTATAACCTACATCCAAGGAAAACTACTCCTGATATTTCAGTTAAGCAATGAAAGTTCAAAAAAGGTTAGTATTTCCATTCCCATGCGCCAACAAATGGCACTTGTGTTTTTAAGGCATTGATCCAAAAATTGATTCGTATAAATTATCAATTAAAATAGTTACATACTAATTAAGATTAAGAATATTGTATTATAACTATATGAACTTCACAAAAATAACCATTTCTATCAACTCATATCTTGGTTGAAACAATTTTCTGCAAACACAACTCCTATGGCTCTTCGGATATTTATCTTAATATGATTTTATCAGTCATCTATGTCACTCTATAGCACAACACAGCAGAAGCCAACAGTGCCAAATAAAGCATAAAACTGTTGCATTCAGAGTTGTAAGAGTTATAGATAAATCATAAAATTCATTGCAAAACTGACATAAATTTATTAAATGATGAAGCAAATATTATTATCAATTTCATATGCACATAATTCAGTATCCGAATCTTAATTTACACGTTTAATAAAATTATTGTAAAATTGACTACAAGAAAAATCCTAGTTCATGCAAAAAGCTTCCCTCAGAAGTTACTAGCTCGTCTTTTTCCCATAGCAGTTTCAAACATCCTAATTTTATTTATTTTATTCAAAAACACAAAAATAAAAAAGATATATTAAATGAAACCCTATGAAATGGTGGAGGCAGGAATTAGAAAGAAGTACCAAATTGCTATACCACACTAAAGACATATTTTTTACATTTGTTAAGGGCAATTACATACATACTACACAATTCTAATATATTTACATGTCTAACACCCAAACTTTCATATATCAATTCATACTAAATTTTAAACTAAATTGTAAGATGATCAAGCTTTAAAAAACTGTTATAAAAAATCACCACAAATGAGCTTAAATGTAACCCAAAAAAATTATTAGTTGCATATAATAATATTAGCGACAGGATAATACATTATCACTATGATGCTGAAGTTAGTTCAAAATGAGAAAACCCAAGCTTGCATAGTTTAAAATTCAGCATAAAAAAGAAACATTTCTGGAAATTTAAAATTCAAAACAACAGTTTTGCAGAATATAGATTTTAAGACATATAAAATCAAACCATAAAAGTGGCAGCATAAAAGTACCAACAAAAAGGTGCTGAAAAGACCATGCACCATCATCAGCAGCATTACTTAAATATGAATAATTAATCAAAAACAAGGTTTACGTTATTGACGATTAGTTTTGTGGAAAGATTGAAAAGCTTTATCACCTTTATATCATTTTCTGATAAAGTGTCATTAACTCCACTGTCCAGAAGCATATCAAAATGCTGGAAACACGGAAATGATGAAAAGGGGAAGTTACACTACTTAAATAGTAACAAGCTGACAACAATTTAATAAAAAGGACCTTTGAAAACTCTGAAAATGTCTCGTTGGGTGTTATCCTCATCAGTGTTGACAGTGACTGTAAGGCTGCACTTTGCTCAAGGGAATTAGAACTCATTAATCCCTTGGATCCCAATAAATCCTATAAAACAAATAAAAAAATTTAAAATTTAGCTCAGAAAAAGCATTAAAACAATTCAGCTCAGAAAAAGAAATTAATTATGCAATATAAAAAGCAATATGTAATGCCATCAGTCAAATATGTTGTTCAAAATAAACAAAAGAAGAGTCGGGTAAAAAAACAAACTATTTATCAACATAAACTGTATTCTTCTGTGGGTGAATCTCAGCAAAGCTGATGTCTAGCGTTCAAAGAGGCTTCAACAGAGATTTAGAGCTCACGAGTGAAGACATAAACGCCTCTCTCTTCAATTGCCATTCATGTCTCGCCTTCAGTGAGCCTTTGACGAAGCTTTAGAGTTTGCAAGCACAACCTTCAACCACAAGTTTTCTTCGATCATTTGTGCATTTCTGGGCTATGCCAATATCTTTTTTACATGACCGGGCATCTACTCTCTTTGTGCCCTAACATCTTCACCGGTCAATCACCTTCTTCAAGTTACAATAAATGCTATATATCAAGATTACCAACTCATAAGCTCATTGGCGGTGGCTTATAATGGGTAAGATTGAATGCATGAGAGATTTTGGCTTTCTTTTCTTTCAAAATTTGAATGTCAAATTCATAAATACAATTGTTAATCTCAAGTTGGATAAGAATAGTTAAGTTTGATGGTAGGTTAGATCAATATTATGAAATAACCAGACTCTAATATCATTATATTATTATTGACATGTTTTATTTATCACCTAAACAGCAACCTTAACTAATACCTAAAAACAGGAAGTTATGCGTGTCTCTCTATAGCTATTGTTATTTGGCAAATTAAAATACCAATTAAGGTTCCAATTTCAGGCATTGAAGCTTATAATTGTTAACGTCTTTGTTTGATACGATTCAGTGGAGTTCGTGAGTGATAAATCAACCTTAATTGGGGTTGGAAACAGCATCATTCTTTCATAATGCACACATTGCCCAAGAAAAACAAAAAGATACATCTACTTGGTGAACAAAAGAAATAAGCCAATCTTCCATGGACAAAGAAACATGGACATTAACATCTTTTAGTCTTTGTTTCTTGGCACCACTTCAATTGCGCGCACACATTCTTATTATAGTTTAAGTGGAATATACAAGTTGTTTCTCTTTGTCAACATCAAAGTATTTATGGTTGATACCAGGTAAGCTACTAATCTTTCAATTTATTTTAGGTAATCTAAATGCATACAACACAATTCTTATGTATCTACATATCTAACACCTAAAGTTTGATATTTACATTTATAACACAGGTATGAAAAGTTGTATTTCACTTTTAAAAAGTTAATAACAGTGATATTTTTAATTTATATTATAAATTTGAGTGTTATGTATATAAATTTGAAAATACAGATGTTAGATATATAATAAGAATTGTGTGGTATGCAAATGCCCCATTTTGTATTATCATAATAGAAGTTAGTTATGATTAAAAACCTACTAAGTAGAAATCAATATCATTTTTCGATTATTTTCTTCGTTGACATTTATTTTTATGTTATTTTTATTGTATAATGGTCAGCTAATGACTTCTAAAATAAACCAATTTGAAGTTGATAATAATCTCATATGGATGAAAAAAAAAACCTTGGCCTATGTATATTATCAAATTAGACAAAGTGGAGACAATTGAGGCGGGAGGAAATATAGAAGTCGAATGTCAGTTTTGTAAAATAGAAAAGAATATATTATGAGTGAGACATCACATGCTTAGAAAACTCTAGGAAGGCATATGATCGTACCCAAAAAACATACAAACAACTTTAGGAATTGCAAAAATCATAGACAGATGATGAATAAAAGAAAAGAGCAATGATTGAAAAAATGCTAAACCGGTTAAACAATTTTGAGAAAAAAATGAAGTTATTTGATCAGAAAAATAGCAAAGAAAATATTTTATTAATTTTATAGGAGTCACAGAATATGTGCCTATATTTGTGAAAGACACGAATTGTGAAGGAGTATATTAAAAAAATTACATTACAGTTCATATGAAAGAAGTGACTATAGGGGTGGATTCATATAAAATGATCCAAGTAATCACTGACAATATGATGGTACTTAAAGCGATGGGAACATAAATTGAGACACAATGCCCTCATATTATTTAGACGTCTAGTGTGATTTCCATATTGAATCTTGAATTTAAAAATACTTGTGCTCCAAAGAAATTTGACAATTATGAGATCACTTATAAAGAAGGCAATTGGATCATATATCAAGAAGATGATGTGGATGAAGCTAAATTTGTGAAAAGTATGTTGAATGATTTACAGTGGGGTAAAATACATAATGGAAAAAGTAGTTAACAAAGCTCATCAATCATAAATAGTAAATATATACAAGCTTTGCCTTAGCGTGTGTATAAGTAGGATTCTATAATGGAAAAAAGTGAAAGAGAATATATATTAACATAAAAAAGAGAGTTAAAAAGGAGTCCACATTTTATGAGGTGGTATATAATATTTTTATCCAAAATTAGATCAAAAGAAACACTTCCCTTCATTGTTTTACTTGCTCTTTTAATCAAAAGTAATATTTAATATTTTATTTATCTTGGGTTAGCCCATTTCATAATATTATAATTAATTGCACTTATTACATGTATTTTTTTATTCCATATTGTAGTAATGCTTGGTTAAGCAAAGCTCCATTTTTTCTTGCATCACACAGAAAAATTGAGATATCAAATGAGAGCGACAAATGTATGGAAAAAATTTTTCAAGATATTGAAGAGAGGGAAATTATTACTTGTAGTTTACTAGCTTCTTAGATTTAGTGATCCATTTATCAATCATGACTCTATAGCTTCTTAAAGCAGAATAGAGAAAAACTTGGCGGATCATTCATGATGTTAGTTCCCCACAACTTCAAAATTTGGCTTTCAAATTTTTAGCACAATTGTGTTCTCTTCTTATTGCGAAATAAATTGGAATAAATATTTTCTTATCAGTTCAAAAGTAACAAGGCTACCTCTCATTCTCTCAATAGAGTGAAGATTTGGTATTTATAAATGCTGATATTCGCCCTTTATCAACAGGCTTGAAATATACTCAAGGAGATGCAAGATTTTAAACAATCAAGGGGATAAATTAAATATAATTGCTGACATTAGAATGCTTTAAGCTGCAAATCTTTCACTTAATGCGCCATTTTTAAAAATAATGTTATTTTAGATGAAGAAAATTGTCATTGAAGAGGCAAAGGTGGTGGCGATAATGATGACCAAAACATTGAGGGTGTAAACTCTGTTTAATTGTATCATCACTAGGTTGATATAGTCGTCCTTTTAATTATTATTCGGTAGAGAAATTGGAGTTATTCCTGTTGGGATTTTTTATACTTTGTAGGCAATATATTTATTAGTAAAATATCTGATAATTGCCAATGACTAATAAATGCTAACATTGAAGTGTTGTTAATAAATGGTAGTTGTAGCATGTAATAAAGCGTCTAGTCAATAATAATTCGTATTTTTTTTTCAGCTATTGCAAAGTTCCTTCACAATGTTTCTTAGGTGAAGTATATGTATATAAAAGTTTACTTTACCATGAAAAATCTTTAATAGGAAATACTATTATCAAAATTTTAACAATATGCTTCATAATAAGAATTTTAAAAAAATGTAGCATTATATCTATATCGTATTGTGCCCAACTTTTTATAATTATAAGTTATATCGCCTTGTCCATGTCTCCATATATGTATGTGCTTCATAAGGTGACACTTATGGCCATGGTGACTATAACATCAAGTAGAAAAATACCGGCTAATAGCTCAACTTTATAGCCAAAAATAAAGAAGAAAGTTACCCAAAAAAATTGAGAGCTTAGTTTACCAAGTTGAGCCTGATGAAAAAAATACCTTAGTGCAAGTTAGACAATGATAGCTGCCACTCATCCCACATCATGACAGACAAGGATAGGACCTCTAAATTATAGTTCCAAGTCTCCTCAGGGCACTTTTTCTTATGTTTTAGAAGTTACACTTTCTTTTGCTACTTAGAATGTATGAAGAGATTTAATTAATTAAACACTGATAATGTATATCCAAAAATGAACCTTGAGCGGCATAAAAGCCCAAATGCTAAATGGATCTTATGGACTGAATAGATCAAGCCCACCAATTGTGCATTTAGTGGTTTGGCGTTGATCAGTTCAATCATACTCATTAGTGGTACCTTTGGAAATGACAAGTTCTAGAGCTCCTTACTGCATAGAAGAATTCTACGAGCATCTCCGAAGTACATCAACATTCTAGTGAGTTCCTCTGAATGGCTCAACCCCATTTTGATCTTCAACGAGTCCTTCCCACCAAACTCAACTACATTATCCGAGTTCTTGTTCCATACCCATATGAGCTGGTTGAACATTCTCATCAAACTCACTGACAACCAGTTGGCTATACCATCGAGCTAGGTAAGCAACTCTCAAAGGCAGAGAGGAGAATTTCCATATGCCAGCATACATATTATCATTTACACCAACAGTCCTATAGACAACAAGTATGCTCAAGTTTTGTATTATATAGCCTACAACCTAATTTTAAATTTATTTTTTAGACCCGTGCGCGAGTACATAGTCTCCTGAGTATATAAATAAGAGGGAAGAAGAAAAGATGGGGATTTTTTTCTAACTCTCTCAATCCTGCACCCCCAAATAACTCTGTAAAATCCCTCAACTTCTTCTCACTCCTTTAAGATCTCTCTTGGATTATATAAGTTCACAAATTATTCAGGATCTCACGCCCCAAAAGGATTCAACAGATAAACCCAAGAATTATCATATGGAGACCTCCAGCAACATCAATAAGCCATTCAAGGGTCAAGAATATTCCAAAAAGATTGTATAGTTTCAAAAGTTATGAAACTGGAACCACTAATAACACCACAGGCCCATCAGCAAACGACTAATTTTCTAGCATGAAGCAAGCTCCATCCAAACTGTTTTACTGCAACTTTAGGATTCTAAGTTTTTTTTTTGATCCTACTTTACTACTTTTTTTGTTTGTATAAATAGGCAAGATAGGGGCAATGAATTTTTCTCCCTAACGCAAACCGGATCTCAATTTTTTTCCAACGCATATTCTCTAAGTTGAAGTTTGAGGTTTTCTTTTTTTTTCCCCTTGACCCCTCAATCACAAGATCACAATTCTTTAATCCCTTCAGCCACAACCAAAATCTCATTTCATTACCTGCCATTTTGACTAATAAGTCGTTTGATGCCTTTTGAGCTAACAATCATTTTTATTATTGTCAAGGAGCTTTTAAGTTGTTTCATACCAGATTTGAGGTAACTATAATTAAAGTTTTTAATTTGTCTTTATTTTAATTCATCTTCTCATGTTTTCATCTCTCTATTTGGTTTCCTTTCTCTTCAATTCGATCTTTTAAACGATAAGCGTTATGGTTCTTGGCTCTGTTGTAACTTTTTTTGAAAAACAATCAAACCAAGTAAATCACTTCGCACAGGGTAAATATAATTTCAAAGGCAATCGGTATACAGAATTCAAAGGAGTGTATTTATTTCAAAATATACGAAAAAATATATAGCATTTCAATATTAAATATTTGATACATTTTAGGAGTTCAGTTAGAAGGATTTGCAGTGTATTGTAATTCTTTAACAAGGGTTTTAGGAAATAAGGTATTTGGTATGAAAAATTACAAATATAATGTGAAGTATGAATGAATTTGAAGTTTGCAAACTCGCTCAATTTGGTTGGATTTAGAATTTGGCTGATTTGGTCAAATTTGAGTAACACAGTAAAATACTATCGACAAGCCGCTGCCCCCTTCCGGCCATCCACCGCTGCCTCCCACAGTCCACCGCAGCTAATCACCATCGCCCCCCCCCCCTCCGTCGGCAAACAAAAAAATATTTTTTGAAATACATTGTTTTCACTGTACTTCAAACCAAACAAAAAAATATAAAGTTCAGCGTTTATTTTACAGTAAAACAAACAACTCTAAAGCATTTCAAATGTATTGTAATTAGAGTAATCTGAAAATATTTTATATTGCATTTCATTTTCAGCAAACCAAATAGCCCCTTAAGCCACAAAGAACAATTCATTTTCAATCAAAGGAATAGGATACTAAATTAAGAACTAGATAAATTTGGTGAACAAGTCATTTTCAATCAAAGGAATAGAACACTAAATTAAGAACTTCATAAATTTGGTGAATCACCAGCTGAAATAGTTGAAATTTAAAAAAAATGAAAAAAAAAACTAAATTTTAAATAAGCTTAAAATCAAGAGAACAAATACTAAATATATGATGCCACTGTAATAGGTGTGATATTAACAATTATAAGCAATGTTATCATAATATAAGTCATAACTAGGATTGACAATTTTAAATATCATGGATCAAACATACAGAAAATTGGCATAAATGTATCATTGACAAAATGGAAAATATAAAAAACACGGGAGCTAAATTGGGATGCGATACTGTAGTTGCTACAGTATCGCGAACGCATTACCATAGTTGCTACTGTAATTGTGGGTCTCTCTTGTCTATTTTGATTCCCTATCTTATCTATCACCTTACACTTTTATCCAATTTCAAATTTCTTCCTTTCACATCGCCCCTCTTTTATTTATTACCTATTATTCTACTTAACTAATCTACCTATTAACCCCCTATTATTTATACATGTTGTTTGCTATGGTTAAGGCAGACTTTGAAGAGGATAGATTTCTGAGTGCTGCCTTTAAGGCGTTCTTCCCCTTCGAGATCTATACCCAACAATGAAAAGATGTTCCAATTGTAACTCGTCTGAGATGATGACCGTCTCCAAGGTTCTAGATGATGCTCCGGCTGTAGCTTGACCCGACGAGACATTTATCATTCTGCAGCCCCTCCGACCCCTCTTCCAGCAGCCCCACATTCTAATATTCTTCCCTCTGCCCTCTAGGCCCTCCCACATTCCAGCAGAACTCTTGCTACCCTCAACCCTACTGAGACCTTCCCTGCAATAATTCGACGTCTCCAAGCCATTGTCTTGTTGCCGCCGACCCCGCCAACACCTTCCTCGTTGTTGTTTGGCGTTTTCCGCAGCTATCCCTGCACTCTCAAACAGTCCGCCAAGACCCTCCCCGACCAGCCCCTGCTGACAGCCCCTCCCGGACCTATCCCTATTGTTGTTCAGCCATCGGCGCCTGTCACAGCTGTTGTCCAGACCACAGAGCCTATTCCCGTTGTTGTCCATCCCTACCGTCCAAACCCCGCCACCAGTCAGTTGATGCCCCAGGCAACCGCAGCTCCGTCATGCCACCCTCCAACAGTCGCTAGCCATTTTCCGACCATCACCCATGTCCCCGTTTCTTAGATGACAGTTTATGTATTTTTTATTGCTTTCTATCTTATACTTTTGCAATGTTGTCTAGTCATTTCCGTTTGTATGTTTGTTGTCGTTTATTTCATATTCACAAGAGTCTCTCTTGTACCCTTTTGAATCCAGTAATAACAATTGTGCTTTTCATGGTAGTTTGGGCTTAATCCGGAATCAATAAAAATATTACTTCTAGAGTTAAGACTGTGGTTAAAAAAAAAATTGCCTCACTTTGTTCATTAGAGGATAAAATCATACGGTTTGAGAATTTCAATATCTTGGATCAATAATATTGAAAACGAGGATAAAAATGTTAATGGAAAAAAGGGGATGTATAAAGGTATGACTTCTAGAATTAAGTCAAAGCAAACATACAAAAAAAAAATTTGCCTCAAAAGTATTTCGCAATATCATAGAGAATTAGAAGTAAATTTATAAAACAATAGTTAGTCTAATGATGTTATATATATATATATATATATATATATATATATATATGCAAGTGCTGTATTAAAAAATAGTTGTTGAACACTGCATAAATGAAAATTTGAATATTAATAAGTGCAAACCTACGAAAAAAAATTAATGAATGATTATATCAAAAGAATTATTTCAGTAGTATCAAATGATAATATAAAATTTATAGTAGGAAGATAAATTTAACATTGAAGGAGTACATAAAAGAAGTAATAGACCTTAAGTATCATAAATAGTTGCTTGAATGGATATGAAGCACCACTCAGAATAAGACTCATGAAACTGACCCCAAATATTTAAGAGTATGATGAGTGTCAACATCATGATTATTACAGGCATTAGTTGTACTCTTAAACCATAGTCAAAGCATCATTATGCACTGTACACATATTTCTATGATAACTAGGCAGGACGAAAGCTTACATTGGTTGACTTTAGAATTACTTTACAGTTAAGTACAAAATAATATGATGTAAAACACTACAAATTGAAATTACCTTGCATATTAAGCCCACATTTGCAGTCATGATTTCAATAATATCAGAATTGTGCCTTCGGAGATTTCTTTGGAGCCGCTGGAACATAAGCAAGGGAAAAGTTTAGTTAATTGCATAACATTACCCCATATGCAATTGGCATACAGTTCTCAATATCCATGTTCTTGAGACAAAATCGAGCCAACACTGAAAACATGAACACATTGATCTCTGAATAAGTTTATATAACATTGACGGGAAGAATAACATTCAATTATCGAATTAGAAATTCAGAGATAACCTACTCTTCCAGTATTACACCAAAAAAGCTGAAAAAAGCAGCAACAACCAAAATTTATACAAAAAAAAAAAGACAAATGCATCCCTATGACCAAATTATCAACGAAAAGCTATAATATTTTCTTGATAAATCATAAAATTTATAAAAAAATGAAAGAAACATTGCAAAATGTATTACAATTTGAATAGAATCCAATAATGAATTAAATAAAATGCATTTATCAAGAGAAGCTAACGTTAAAATCAATGTGCAAACCTTTTAAAAGTTGTTTATCAAGTTTGTAAGCACATGCAGCATGCACAGGTAACAGATGTTCTTTTTTAAATGGTGTTAATAAAAGCTACACAACTATATTTTGAAATAATCATTTGAGCAATGAAGGAAACTTAAATTACCAAACATTACAAAGTACTCAAATTAAGAATCACCGGAAAGTAAATTTAGCAAAAAAGTTACTAATGCATCTCATGGAATCTTAGAAAGCAAATTGATTAAAATTCCAATAATTGAAAAAAATGCAATATTAGTGGGGGCATAAAGGATTTTCTAGTCTAGCAATGTAAAAAAATCATCTCAGAAGATCATATCCGTAAATATCATTTGCAAGTACCTTCCAAACTGCACCACTTATAGAAATCCCAGCTAATGAAGGATGATGTGCACAAAAAAAAAGCACAGAATATGTTGAAGAACTCGCCATCGCTGCTGGCACAATCAGTAGCAAGCACTTCACCAACTCCTCAGCAGAGGGAGCAATTGTTATATGTGAATCAAGTCGACTTTCTGTATCACTATATAGCCACATAGTTAATGTGAGTTAGAAAAATGCGATAATTAAACAAACAGATTCCAGCGCAATATCCAGCAGATTTGTGGTCGTAGTAATTGAAATGCAGCATTGTGACAAATAATCTGAGTATTTTACGATGAGATAGCAATCAAAAATATGATTTTTTGGGGCACTTACATAACACCCAATTCTTATCTATTTACAAGTATTATATATAACACCTACATTACTTCTTACATTTATACGACCCAAATCATTCATATCACATCAAAAATACCACCATTTTAATTTTCAAAAAGTGAAACACGCCTTTTCACGGATAGGTAAGGTGGCATGTATGTAAAAATTGAAGTTTAAGTGTTAGATATGTAAATACACAGAAGTTGAGTGGTATGTATGTAAATCTTCCTATTTTATTGCTAAATGATTACCATGGAAAATTAATTAAAATTTACCTTACTGATATTCTATCACTAATTACTGGAAACCAATTTCTAAACTGAAGTAATAGCTCCTCCGCTAATTTCATGGATGAGGAAATAATCTTTCTTGTAGCATCATAAGCTACTTTGCGGACATCCCAGCTTGGATGGCAAATAAAATAAAGCAGGAGCTGTGCCACATAAAAGAACACAATAAGGACAAACAAGAAAAAAATTGATTACTCAAAAATAGAAATTTTAAGCCAGAAAAAAGAAGTTAACCTGAAACAATGATTTGACAGATAAAAACTCCAAGGATCTGCGCACAAAATAAATTTTGTCATTCTCCCGCATTACATATCCAAAACCCTACCAACGAAGCCTATTGTCAAATACAAACAAAAACAAATTTATGAGAAATTGATTTGAACACTCGCATAAACACCTATACTGATGTTCCACAAGCAACACTTCAAGAACATCAATACATGTAACACAATCTTCATCAGAGAGTTTCGGAACCTATAAACAAATAATAGAAAAGACTGAAGATTAGAACCTCTAGGTGCAATGAAGCATAATACAAATAACAAATTTATCTATGCCAGCACCATAAAATCCAAATAATGGCATATCTAGTAGATAATGAGAGATTTGTTTTGCAAAATCAGAAGAATTAATACAATGTATATTTTCATCAGCAAACTATAACAAAGTGGTGGCAAAATGAAGCCAATGAGCCAGCCAAATTAAGTTATCTACTTAATTAGCAACTGCTGCAATATATAGGAAGATTTTTTTGAAGAAGACTGTGGGCAGATTTAGCATGCTTATCCAACTAGCAGAAACAATAAAGCACTCAATAGGTAGCTCGAAAAGACATGAAATATAAGAAAGGGCGGGTGTGGATAGGATTGAAGCCCTTGTAGGATTTTCATGTAATGTTAAAGTAACTGAAATAAATTGATACCTTTCATTATAATATCAGAGCTTATATATAACCAAATACAAGAGGTAAATAAGAAAAAAAAAAGAGAGAGAGCATCCTCAATTAAGAAAATATATCAACATAATATTTAATAATTGCTAATCTTCAATCTAAAAAATCTCTGCAGTAACAAACTCGGCAACCTCAATATTTATTTACAATAAAGGTAGAGAAGGCAATCAGAAATAAACTTTAGAGCACCGCCTTAAAAACTTGAGAAAGAAAATTTATCAGCATCGGCTACAACTACATGTGAATGAAAGAAAATTTAGTTCAGCAATTTTAAAAGCTAAAAATGATTAGTCTTCAAACTAATAGGCATTTTACAACAAAACCAGTAAGTATGGCCCTAATACATCATTTTTCGTAAGAAAAGATAAGTGCATCACAAAAGATGCGATTTAATAGAATTTTCCTTTTCTATTCTTTGAAGAATGTTATTAGTAATTTTTTTCTTTTCTTTTTTTTTTTTGAAAAGAAAAACTACATGCAATGAAAAGTTGGTTCTTCATTCAAAATTATTGTAAGAGCATCCAAAAGCATGCAAAATCACGAAGGTGTGGATGGAAATCCTACAAGGAATTACTCGTAGGATTATCAAAATGAAACCGTTCATAAACATGAGATGTTTTGCAATTTTGTTGACCAGTAAACAGTAGTTCTAAAAATACTGGTTATCAGAACGTCTCTTTCAAAGAATGATATTTGTTGTTAGATTTAAAAATTAAAAATAAATTGTTTGGAAGGTAACCGAATCTAACCTTCATAGATACTTATTCATGTAAAAGCCTATATTTTGATGCCAAAAATTTGGCACAATTTAGAATTTTTACATCCAAAAACCTCAAAACAATTAGCACACGTGTTTGTTTTTATAAATGCATAAATTTTAATGTAAAAAAAATAACCATATGATGCTTCTTGAGACACTCCTCGAAGGATTCGTGTAACAAAAATTCATGAAATATTTTAAGAAACAGAATAGCCCACAGAACAACTTGCTTTTTATAATATTTTGACACAAAAAAGCTTAAATTGCATTAACCAAAATTGCACATCAAGGGCAAAGCAATTCATTTCATTTTATTGACCAACATGCAACCATAAACTATCAAAGTCAAAAGGGGCGCACCAGTGAAAATGATATTAATGCCGATTCATTTTGCGCGAGTAAATGCCAAAGCTTCTCCTTGAGCACAATCTCCTCTGAAATTTTATTTTCAATATCATGAATGACCAGATTAATGGAAATAACAAATAAAAACATCAAGTCCAACTAATAGAGAAAGTAGTAAAACAACACCTCCTTTGGTATCTATAGAAACAATTTTTGCAACAGAAAAAAGTGCATAAATTCCATCCAATCTCTGAGATGCTTTTGTGAAGCCAAGCTTAACAATCTGAACAAGCAAGTCCAATAATGGAACAGCCTGAAAAAATTCATACATATTCGACCCCACACGTAAGAAAATATGGCATCATATAAATGATGGTTACATAATAAAGTCACTCGTTAAGGTAACATACGAAATTCCAACACCTTTGTTAATGAGTCAGAATTCTTGCAGATAATTCGCAAACATTTAAGATGCCCCTTCCTCAGAATTTCTTTCTCCTTTATGCCGGAACTCAAAAAAGATATTACATTTGGCTGAACAGTTTCAGCGGATCTAGAAGCCCACGAACCCAAGGAGGATAAGATTGCAAGCTTCACCTCATCACTCCCTACATTGGAAATTTCTCAGAAGTTTCGATAGAAAAATATATACATATATTTGAAAATCAAACTTGCAGCAAGAATACAAAAGCAAAATCTGTAATGAAAAAGAAAAGAACACTTCGTGCATTACCATCCCCCTTGTAGCAGGACAAAAGAAAGGTTGAGACCATAGGAGCAAGCTTATTGAGTGCTTTCCCACTAGGAGCCCTTGACATTTCTGCCAAAGCATTTATCATTCCAATTCTCTGATAAGGCAGGGCTAGTTTTCCCTCAGAACCTGTTAGTTCTAGACAAATAAGTATCCAAAAACAAATGCTTGGGGCTTCTTTGGGATCATTTTTGTTTTTATTTTTTTGTTTATGTTTTCTAGTTTTTGTTTTTGCTTTTCTTTTAAAAATGAGTTTGTTTAGTGCATTTTTTAATGTTTTTTATTTTAAACAAATTTGATTGTTTATAAATACATTTAAAAGTTGTTTTGAGTGTTTTTAAACAATTAAACATGTCACCCTGTATCAAATATGCTTTATTTTAAATCAAAACATAAACATAAACAAAATCAAAATCAAAAGTGATCCCAAACGGCCCCTTGAAATTTGATCAAAATAACCGATAGTAATGAAAGGTCGTGTCAAGCAGACAGGAAATGTTCATAAACAATGATAAAAAAGTGGGTGTACCTTCAATGATAGCTTTAACAGCATTGAACATGGAGAGTAGGACATCTGGATCGCTGGAACTTTGACTCAAAGAAGCTATAATAGACAAAGCTTTCGTCCTCCTTTCATCATCAGCATGTCTAACTTGTGGAAGGATTACTGAGAGGAATTCAATCACGTACTTACTCATATCCAAATTGACATGACGTAAAAGATCTGCAATTGATTCCATAACAATCTCTGGATTTCGTTTCAACATCTTGATTGATGACGGAACCACGAGGATTTGAAAATCTTCGTGTTCTATATGCATGAAAAGAGGTTGAAAAGATTCAGCAAGCAGTCGAGATGGCCTTTCTTTCGCATTCAAAACTGCTTTGACATATAGCTCGAGAAAATTTGGCTGAATGACGCAAAACAGGCGAAGAAATTATAAATAAGAATGTTATACAAGGCATACATAAGAAACAGCAACCACAAGAGAAACTTAGGGCTTGTTAGGGGTTTTTTTTACTTTATTTTTATAAACATATTTGTTTAATATGTTTTTTACATATTTTTATTTTTTATTTCTAAAAATAGATCAACATATTTTTAAAAACACTCAAAACGACTTAAAGATATTTTGAATTTTTTTTTAAATAATCATATCTTAATCAAATATGTCAAACATATTTTATTTCAAATCAAAACATAAACAAAATAAAGTACAAAACAAAAAGTAGAAAATCAAAATCGATAGTGGTCCCAAAGGGCCCCCTTATAGATATTTTGAAATTTTTTTTAAAATAATCATATCTTAACCAAGTATGTCAAGCATATTTTATTTCAAATCAAAACATAAACAAAATAAAGTACAAAACAAAAAGTAGAAAATCAAAATCGATGGTGGTCCCAAAGGGCACCTTAATTGCTTTAAAGGAAAGCAAAGAAAACAACTTAAGGCAGACAATGAAAAAAGAAAATAATCATGGCAAATTTACCTTGTATTTCTCAAAAAATGATGAGTTACCGATTGAAAATTCAAGCAAAATTCTTATAAGAGCAGAACTATCCCTTGTGGAGATTCTTGAATCATTTAGCTCCTCCATGTACATCTCGTATATATATACACACACAGCATAAATATAATTCTAAATCAAAAAAGACAAAAAGAGTCACAATAAACAAAAAATTCTAGGCTGTATCCAAAACACTTACCTCAGAAAAAATATGAAAAAACCACTTTTTACAAGCTCTGCGCCTTCGGTAGGCTCCATGCATAAGGCTTTGAGATAGGAATGCTTGTGCAGTTGCAAGTCTCAAAAAACCACCCTTAGACAAAGATGTGAATTGGCTCCATCTCAAGAGAAGGCATGACCACTTTAATAGTTTAAAACTTCCTATCGAACAATCATTCTTCGAATACTTTTCCATGGATTGAACAAGGACGGCAGCAAAGCACTTCATGAAGGCTGAACTTCTCAAAGCCGTAATAATCAAATCATCAACAGCTTTCCTTGATGGCCGGTCATCATAGATTAACAATGTTTGAAAAACTAAAGCGACAAGTAAATCAGCAACATCGGAAGATAACTCTGGAAAAAAACCAAAATATAAATAATATTAAAAACATAGGTTGATCTTTTTGTTAAAATAACAGGGCATAAATATCTGTATATAGACTAAAACATGCATGATTATCACGTAATCGAATCAACAAAACCTAGAAGGGGCAAAGCAAGCATCACCCGCCATCCAAATTCCATGCCAAACATGGAAAGATTAGCATAGTAGCACAAACCTACAAACATTGTCAATAACCATGCATCTAGAATAACTAAAAAACATAATAGCAATTAAAAAGATGAGGGAAATGCCATATGTGCAAGCAATTCAAAAAAAAATCATACAATGTAAACTAAGAGCGTAACCGGTTCTCATAAAATAAACAATGATGCCAATTACATCTCATAAAACCAAATGAATGTTGATAATCAAAGTAAACAGTCTTCGCAGTAAGTAAACAAATTATTTAGCAAATTCAAAACATAAGTAACCAAAAAAGGGCATAAAATAAAGATTAAAAAGGTTCCAACTGGTCATTAAAACTTGAGCAAGCACCCCTAGGACATAAAAGCTTGTGTTCAATTTTGGAGGCCCAAGATACATTCTACTGTTATTTTCTTGCATGCAAACCCAATTGACCTGGCAATGCCAATTAAGCTTGTCTTTTACAAAGCTAATAACAGAAAGGGCACTATGTTGCGAATTTGACATCAGGATCTAGCATATTTAGGCTGGTAACCGATTAGCAAAAAGATTATGTTGGTATGTTACTATCAAATATTAATTAATATTGGGCAGTCGAGTCAGTAAGACTTTGAGAACCTATTTTTCAGTAGATTGCAACCACTCCGTCCTAAGCATATCGCAAATTGTAATGAAAATATGTGGTTTTGAATTCAATTAGGTGCTGAAACACATCTCCAATGATAAAGCTCCAAATAATCAAAGAGCATTTACATACATACCACCCAATTCCTATGTATCAACATATCTAACACCTAAACTTTACCTTTTACATTAATATCACCCAAATCTCTCATATAACATCAAACATACCATCATTCTAACTTTTAACCGTAAAATACACCTTTTCATGCATAGGTATGGTGGCACGTAAGTAAAACTTGAAGTTTCGGAATTAGATACGTAAACTCTTAAGAATTGAGTGGTGTGTATGTAAATCTTCCAATAATCAAATGTAAAACAACTTAAATATTCTTCGTTCACCATTAATTTGCAATTTCCAGTATCATAAACTGCTCCACGCTGAGGCTGAGAGAGCACTGGAAGCAATCCCATGGCATCATAATGTTGAGTGAGATCGCAGGTAAAGCATTTTTTTCAGTGTGGAACAAAGATGGCTCAAAAATCTTTAAACATGTTAAGTCCTCGAAACCTTACGGGTTGATACAGGAAAATAATGAGTGCTGATCGATTTAAGCAAGAAACTTGGATTAATACCAGTGTCTGATACCTTGGTACGTGTTACGCTCTTCAAAGATGGAAACGCCGCAACAATAGCTCTTATGATGCCACCCTAACATAAGTAAAAGAACGCCACAAGCTCGCATTCACTTTTAACAAAAATATGAAGTCATCGAACTAAAAGGGAGAGCAATAGATCAAACTTGCGCAAAACTATCAAGTGATAGAACTAAAAAACAGACCAAATAATCAAACTTGCGCACACAAGACGACCAATCAACATTGTTGACAGATCTATAAGCTCGGTGAGAGGTTTGAGAAAATCAGGAGACCTTTGATCTGCAGCAGTGGTAGCAGGTTTTCACGAAATATGCGAATCCGTTGCTTGGTCGAAGAAGTCGACACCCCCTCAGCGGCTGCTCGAAGAACATCCATCGGCTGCGCCATTGGCCGAAGAAAATTTGGGAAACGAAAACTACGAATTTGTAATGAGGTCTACTTCTTTTCCTCTCCTACAAAACCCTAGGGACGTTTGTGTCGATTGGATGAACTGAAAGGAAACAGGAAAATCGGATTCGAGAAGCTCGCCGCGAAAATGTTCGCTCAAGGTTTAGATGGCGGCTGATACTGCATTAGCCTGTTACTGGCACAACTTGCCTGATGAAGTTGGAAATTAGAGAAATACATTGGAAGACCAAACCTTTTTTTGGAAGATTTACATAGAAACCACACAATTCTAATTTATTTACATTTCTAAGGATTGAATTTTATATCTCATCGGAATGCCATCTTATTAAAATAATTTAAATTTGAGATTGAGAGAGATGGCAATTATCCATGATTAATAGTATTCTCTTCATAAAATATAATGATGATATTACAATTTTTTTTGCCTGAGTTGCCTGAGTTTGGTGGGTGTGGTCTGGTCTGCTGATCCAACATAGTTAATTGTCATTGATCCCTGATGATGGGTCTTTGGAGCCTCCATGAGATAGTTGAACATAATTTGTGGAACTATATATTCTTTTCGAGGGGGGGAGTCTTTCTTGTAGTGATTGGCTCAGATGATTTTTCATCACGTTTCGATTGGATGTTAAATCATTTTAGTCATCTTCTTGTCTGCTACATGCGTAATCGATTTTGTTTGATTAGCTTGACTTCTTCGGTCGATTAACGATCTCCTCACTGTGGGCTCCCCTCCATACTCATCCCTTATAGACCGTTGGATATCTTTTAGAATTATGTGGACAATTCTTATGCACATATTTGAATTCTCCAATTTTATTATTTCTTGAAAGTGACGCTCCAATAATAATGAGATAATTTAATACAAAAGGTATATCACATTCAATTTTAATTACTGATTCAATAATTGATCTTCATTGATTTTGGCACCCTTAATTTTTATAAATAGGGCATGATGAGACTCCTCGTTTCTAACATGTTATGTGCTTGTTAGTTGGCTTTTGCGTCTCATCCATTACGATGGATAACCTTTTGAAATCACACATTGACATTCCTACCAAGAACTTCATTCTCATCGCCTTCGTGAAGTTCAAAGGATGGAACCGTTTGGGAGGTGAAAGGAGGAAGAAGACTGTTGTGAAGAAGAAGAAGAAGGTTGTATGCTCGTTGCTAAATCATATGGGGTCATCTGATTCGATCAACTGTATTATGTTGAAGAACTATCTATTGGTTGAGTCAGTCCTTAAACCGACCACCCAACCTTCCATTATGATATAAGATCCTCTGGCCAATCGGGTTGCTCAAATGTCTTATGGTATTCCCTCGTTGCTTTCATCAGTGCTTCCTCGTGAGGGTGATGTTGATTGCATATTTGTGGCGTTTTGGTTGAATTGGCTAATGGGTATGAAGTGTTTCGGTCTTGGTTGTGGGATTTGATTTTTTTCTAAAGTATTTTTTGTTTTATGATAGCTCTCGATGCAAATGACCAGGCTCTAGTAAACATGGATAATGATCAGACTCTAATATACTTATGTGAGGGTTTGACCAAGGTGCTAATGGCAGCATACCGTATATGTGAGTTGTTTACTCGTATAGAGAAGATAAAGATGATGGATGAGTTGGTGGCGACTCTTCATCAGAAGTTATCGGATGCGTGGGAGAGATCTCTGATCTTCCAGAAGCAAGCCATGTCATATTAATTCAATCAATCTAAGTATAGAGGATAGTTCTTGCATATGAGGTTGCTTTGCTTTGGGCATGACTTGGACGAAAAGACGACATGTCCCCTTGGAAAATATTTGATTAAGAACTAATTTCAAAGTCATTTATTAAAATTTATGTGTCTTATTTATAATAAAAAATATTTATTGCCTTGTTTTTTATGTTGATGTGATCTCGTTGATGGCTTTTTATGAAGACAACAATTTACTTCTGTTTTTATCCCAGGGTGACAATTTGAACTTTCTTTGTTTCCTTATATATATAAATAGTGCAAGGTCGTTTGGTCACACTCCATCTACTCTCTCTACTTAGCTTGTTTTATTACTTTTTTTATTGCCTAAGCTCTTGTTTTATGCTCGATGGCTCCCTGGTAGTCCTTACAACATTTTTGATTGGTCCCTCTGAATGACATATCATGAAAGACAATACAAGGTTAACATAATGTAAAAGAGTTGTTTTTTTTTTTTTACTCCACCATGGAGCATTGCCTCTTTGGTAAGGCCGATTAAGCAATTTCAATATATGACACTAATCTTCTGTTCTACAGGGATTAGTTTCACTTTAGTCTTTGACTGTCACATTATTATCTATTACACTCCATATTTACTAGATGCACTGCAATGCCCACTCAGATTAACCCAACTCCATTGTTGTCATTATGACATGCGTTATGTTATGTTGGATGCTAGGGATTCCATTGTCCATCAACTTGTTTAGTTAATTCAAGCTTGGCCCAGGCATGGTTTTTCAATTTTCTTCTTGTCAATAGGTTGCAGTTACCGAGGATGGAAAATAACATGAAGGTTTGGAAGCCACAAATTTGCTTGGGTTTCTCCCGACAATGGTGCTTCATTCGGACTATCCCTGATGGGGAGCTCTGTTAAAGATGAAGACAAAAGCATTGGTAAAGGTGTTGCTAAAGGCCAAAAAGATCGAGGGAAGGAAGTTGTCAGTCCACCAACACCTCAAGTTGGCAATCGTAACAGCGTGATGCATCTAGACATTTTTTTTGAGAAATAACCTAGAGGGATCGAAGACTTTGATGCCCAAGAGTTTGAGAGTAAGGTGGTGCCAGTTGCTCTTACGACCAAGAAGAAGGCTCACTCTTTTGTCATTAAAGCAGTAGACCGATCAACACCCAAGTTGGTTATGTCTTGAGGGCCTAGAAGCTAGGAAGGACTGGATCTCGCTTACTCTTATTGGGTTGGCTTGATCTTCAGTTGAAATAATGCCTGAGAACCAGGGGGATATTTGGTGGGACCGTCTTCGGGAAACCTTGTAGAGCCCAGTTAGACTGAGCCAATCGATTGCAAGGAAGAGTGTCACTATGAGGGGAAAGCCCAAATCGATCGACTCTAGTGAGTTTGCCTCTTTATCATATTGAAAAACATGCAACAGATATCTCTTTGAGCGGATTCTGACTCAGTATGATGAGTTGAATGTGAGCACTAGCCCAGACGACAAGTATGCGCTGATCAACCTCTAAAGGGGCCGGAATTTAGACTCCCTAGTCGCGAATCACTACCCTCCACGACAATCAATGTAATATGATCTCTCATATTCAAATAAGCCCCATTGTAGCAGAGCTTTGTAGTCATGTTTGAATGACCAATATATATCACTTAATGGCTTGAAATGCTTTCATCTCCAATCATACATCCCTCGTTAGAAGCACCATGAAAAATTAAGGGTTGGTCACAAATTGAATCAAAGTTGAAGAAAGCTAAGGAGAAGGTGCTCAGACATATGACCAGATATGAAGGATTGTGAATTGACTGTTCGTGTTCGACTTAACTTAATTTTTTTCTTCAAATTAAGCTAATATTAGGCTCAGCTCGAAACAATATTTTATTAAAATTTAATAAATCCTATAATATAATTTTTTTTTCTTTTTAAAAAGTCACAACTCAATAGCATTGTGGGTTGAGCCATCAAAAGGAGTTAAAATGACTTGCAATTGAAAATAGATTCATTATTTATGGAGAATGTGTAAAATTCTTTTTTTCAACTCAGGGGTGTTGACCTTATTTTTGAGGTCTTTTTTTTCCCTTCTCTAGATACCATAGTATCTAACCTTAAGATCTCCCTATTTTGACTCTCTTAGAGGACTAGACTGGGACTCACCCCCCTTAGAAATTCAAGTCATTTCTTCACTCCTTGCAGTTTTATATGGACGGTTTTAGATCCTCAACATTCAATTGAGTCTATCGAAAAGCCGACATATTGAAGCTTAAATTGAGCTCCTATAGAAATTTGAAAGACGTAGGTGGACACCGTGGCGCGTGCGATGTTTGACTTGCCACTACGAGCAATGTGTTTGACTTTGGTCGTCGCTTATGTGAGGACGGTCAATGATATACTCGTTAAACGGCTTTGATCGAGTCAAAATAATTCCATTTATCACGCCACGCACGAATCGAAGTTAATTTGATGTGATTGATGACAAATTTGTCCGGATGATTCCGGATAACGAAACGGACTACGTCGTCGCGTCTGGAACGTCGATTTTAGCTAGGGAGGACACCCATTTTGTTGAGGCGTCACACACGAATGAATTGCACGAAATTTGATATTTTCTATAAAAATATATAATAATAATTTTTTTAAAAAAGGGTTTTAAAAAATCCCTAAACATAATCTCCCCCAGGCACTATTCCACTTCCCTGCTCGCGCCTCTATTTTCCTTTGCCCTAGTCGAAACCCCTTTCCCTCCTCTCTTTACTGAATCTTGCAGATCCATTGCCGGTTTTTTGGTCATCTCCTCCCTTTCCGAGCTCTCGTCGTCGATAGCCTCGTCGGTAGCCGGTTTATAACGGTTTTTCCCGCTCGAATGGACCTGGTAACCCCCTATTTTGAATCTTGATGAATTTATTTGCCCTTTGAGGTGCTTCTCGTTACCTCCCTTTTCCTCATCATCAGTGAACCCCTTTGCTCTCGCTGGCTATAAATACCCCTTCGAGGGAAGCATTTACGGGCTGATTTTTTTCTTTTGGAGATTTATGGGGAACATAGTTTGAGAGCTTTTATTAGACGATTTGAAGATTTCTTTTGGCTTGAGGTTTTCTTTATGAGCTATTCAGAGAGAGTTTCATGATTGGATTTTCTTTTCGTATATTGAGGAAGGAGTTCAATTGGATGGAAATTCCTTTATGGATTAACTTCTTTCATTCGTGGGATCTGGATATTTCTTTACTTATTGTTTCTAAACCTTTTTACACTTTCTAGAAACATTTGAAAGTAAGTTCTATTCTTCTTCTTTGCCCTTTTCAAGGGATTTCCCTCATTCGATGTTCTACTTCCTACCATTCTTAAGAATATTTCTTCTCTTGGTATAAGATGTTGGAAATAGTTAAGTCTCCATTATAATCAAGTTCACATGAAGTTTATCTTGATTCCATGAATTGCGCTTTATTTGGTGTTAGTTCTTTTAAAGCATTGCAGATTTCTAAATAACAATGAGAAAGGCAAAAAATCTATTATTTCAAGTCTTTCTTCGA